ATATATATTCAGGGAGAACAGAAACCACAGACAGACAGGTAAGTAGCCCGCTCCACAGGAGGTCAGAAATGGTCCTCACATTATTTTCTCAGCAGAGTACAAGAGAATGCCAAGAAAATAACAGCACACTACTACAATAACCCAAAGCACCCAGAGTTTAATTAACTGTTTCAGAAAGAGATGTAATCAGATTGGTAGCTGCTGAAGCTACTGCTGGCTATTGAACTGATTGTTTCACGATCGAGAGAATGGCACTACTAGGCTGTATGCTGTCTCTTATTATTTGAATTACAAACAGAATATATTATGCAAATGCCAGTCAACAAGAGTCCAGAAGCTTGAAATTAAAACAACTTAGAAAAAAATCCACATACTTAGATATGCAGACGATAGCACACCAATACCTAAACATAAGGATGGTTTGAGGAGCTTGTTAAAAAAAGTAAAAGGAAAAAGCTTATCAGTATGCTTGTTGCTCACCAACAAGAAAAAATAAATCATTTCATGCAGCCCTAATAATCATCAGCTAATAGAGGGGAAAAAAGCTCAGGCAGTGAGAGTTTTTATTATGCCGGTTTTTAAAAATTGGAGCTGCAGCTGCAACATAAAAGACCTTTGCTTTTTGGGGGAAAGCCCTGGCACATTCCCACAAGATACAGTTTTAATAAGCAAACACAAACTGTCAACCAAATTTCCAAACCAGGGTCTTCTTATTTATAACAAATGGCTGTGCAAGTTGGACCTTATAGTGGAAGTAAGGGTTAGAAAATCAACAAACTGCCGATCAACAAGCTTGCTATCACTATGTAAGTCTCTTTTGTCATAAAAGCTTCTTTCTATAATTCAGCATTTTCATGCATTGGACAGCTCAATGCACAGACCCAGCATGCTGTGGTCAAGTAAGTCCCATGCACATGCGTAGGAGTTACATCACCAGTCAATCAAGCAGCTGAATACTGAAGAAGATCACGGTAAAGATGGAAGCAATGGTGAAGGAAGAGCGCAGCACTGGAGAGGATCGATTTAGCAGGTAAGTCTACCTTAATGTGCTAATATGCTGTGTATACTAGCACATTATGGCTAAAAGCTCCATGTGGGGCCATTTCTCTTTTTATTTAAATAGCTTTACTTTTGTTCTAAAGCCCAAGTCTGGGCTCGGCTCTGCACCCCTTAGTAACTGCCTCTACACCATGGAAGCACCCAGCAGATATTTTTTTTACACTTACCTTTTTCTAAATTCTTCAGACTGGTCATAGGTCTTCTTAATCTTAAGTTTTCTTCTAGGTAAGTGATTCTTGATGATGCAAAGTGTGGTGCTAATGCAGGGGTAGAAAAATGAATGTGGAATATAGGAGCCAATCTTTCCAATCCTTGAGCCAGCTGCTTTTTTTT